GTTTTAAATATTGAAAAATTAAATGGTGAAAATTATGAGAGCTGGGCTATGCAAATGAAAAGCCTCTTAATTACCATGGATTATTGGGAAACAGTCATGTCACCTGTACCAGAGGATACATCTGGAGAAGTTAAGATTAAGTGGTTGGCAAACGATCAAAAAGCGCTGGCAACTATTACGTTGTGTTTGAAACCGTCGGAACTCATTCATGTGAAAAATTGTGTACATGCTGCAGAAGCATGGATTAAGTTGAAAGAAATATATCGTGCAAAAACACCATCAAGAAAAGTTAATTTATTTAAAAGTCTGTTTCGATTCCAAATTAAAAATGACGAAAAAATGGCAGTTCAAATTAATAATTTTTGTAGCATCGCGGAAAGTCTGAAAGAAATGGACATTGCTGTACCAGAGGATCTGCTATGTGTTTTGTTGTTGTGCAGTTTGCCAGACGATTTGGAGAGCTTTGTTGTTGCTATTGAAAGTCGCGATGATTTACCTTCATTAGGTCAACTCAAGGTGAAAATATTGGAAGAGGAGCAGCGTCGAGGAAGTCGGGTAGACAGCAGTGGAGCTGAAAAAGTGTTTGCAGCGAAAATAGAAAAAAAGAGAAGCGAGAACGCTGGAAGGTCAAACTACACCGGTGACAGCGGCAACAACTTAAGCATCAGCAGCAGTACGAGCGGTAATTACAACGGCAGAAACAATGAAATTCGAAAGAGAAACATTCAATGCTATGCATGTGGGCGGCGCGGTCATATTAGGTCAGAATGCAACAGTAGATCTGCACAAGCAAAAGTAATGAGTGTATTTGGAATAAAATTTAGCACAAACAAAAACGTGTGGATTTTAGACAGTGGTGCTTCTTCTCACTTGTGTTGTAACGGGGAATTATTTAATAAATTAGAAAAGAGCACACAATCCGTACTATTGGCATCGGGTGAAAGTGTAAATGCTCAAGGCGTAGGTGATGTATTTCTACAGTCGGGAAATACGGAGATCACTCTGCGTAATGTACTTTTTGTGCCGGACTTACATTCTAATATTTTGTCGGTCAGCAAAATAATTAGTTATGGACATTGTGTGACATTTGGTAAAAATACAGCGCGTGTGGTAGATAGCTACGGTAAAGATTGTTTTGAAGCTAAATTAATTGCTGGTATATTTTGTGTTAATATGAAAAAAAGGCAAGAACGTGTATTAACAGTAATTCAACTTGAAGAGAATAAACGTTGGCACTCACGATTTGGTCATTTAAACTTTCATGATTTGGCAACATTATCAAAACAAAATATTGTGCGCGGTATGAAATTGAATTTTAGTAACGAAATTTCCTGTGTTATATGTGCGGAGTGTAAAATAAAGGTTAATCAATTCAAAACTAATAAAACTATTTACACTAAAAATTGCTTAGAACTTATTCACTCCGACATTTGTGGACCGATGCGTATATCGTCCCAGAGCGGTTCAAGGTACTTTATAACGTTTATTGACGATTTTTCTAGGTACATTTCTACCTATTTCTTAAAAAATAAGTCAGAAGCGCTGCGTGCTTTTAAAGATTTTGTAACGCGATCAGAAAACCGAACCGGGCAAAAAGTGAAGAATATCCGCAGCGACAATGGGCGCGAATATTTGAGTGGCGAATTTGAAAGTTTTTTAAAAGAAAAAGGTATCAATCATCAACTTACAACCAGTTATACGCCACAGCAAAACGGAATTGCAGAGCGGGCTAATAGGACTTTAGTGGAGATGGCTAGATGTATGCTAGCTGAATCAAAATTGCCGCAGTGTCTGTGGACAGAAGCTGTCAATACAGCTACGTACTTGCGCAACAGATCTCCTACAAAGCTGCTAAAGAAAACTCCATACGAATGCTGGTTCAATAAAAAGCCAAATGTTTTACACTTGAAAGTTTTTGGGTGCGATGTCGTGTATTTAGACAAAAAACCGGGTAAATCGAAATTTCTTCCAAAGGGTAAAAAATGTTCATTTGTCGGTTATTCAGAGCATTCAAAGGCGTATAGATTATACAATAAAATTGATAAATCTATAACTATTTCTCGCGACGTTATTTTTTTTGAAAAATCATTTTCATATCACAATGTAGCTGGTGAAACTGGTGAAGAGTTCGTAAGTTTTAACGTTAAAGCAGGTGATACCAGCGCGGGTGCATATACTAACACAAGCAAACAAGCTAATTCTGAGCCAAGTATAGTGGGAAGTGATGCAGATTCAGTTTCAAGTTATGAAGAAGAAGCTTATGTTCCAACAGCTAATGTTAAACGCAAGAGAGGGCGTCCAAAACTTATGAGAGAGGGAAAAGTCGGCAGGCCGCGAAAAAAGTATGCGAGTGAACAGTCACTAGAGTTGTTAAGTCAGGTAACAACTTGTGAACGTGATCCGAAAACTGTGGCAGAAGCAATGTCAGATGGCTGTTCTCAGTTTTGGAAAGACGCGATGAAGTTGGAATATGATTCTTTAAAAAAAAACAATACGTGGGAGTTGGTAAATATACCTGAATCGAAGAATATTATTGGGAGCAAGTGGGTGTTCAGTACAAAACGGCACGCTGATGGAACTGTGGAGAAACACAAAGCGCGTTTAGTTGCCCAAGGCTGTGCCCAAAAATACAAAGTTGACTATAGTAATACTTACTCACCAGTAGCACGGTACTCTACAATCAGGCTAATTTTGGCGTTATCAGCGCAGCATAAATTATTCGTCAACCACATTGATATTGTGGCAGCGTATCTCAACGGGGAACTAGAAGAAGAAGTTTTTATGCGGCAGCCGGAGATGTTTGTAGATAAAGCTAATCCACACAAAGTATGTAAGCTCAAAAAAGCGTTGTACGGACTAAAACAAGCAGGGCGGGAATGGAATCGTAAAATCGACGACATTTTACGGAGCATTGGGTTTGAAAGAAGTTTCACCGATGGTTGCGTATATCATCGTATAAAAGCTGATAACATCGCCGTTATAGTATTATACGTTGATGACATGTTGGTAGCATGCTCTTCAGAAAAGCTGATAGAAGGCATAGTATCCGATCTCAATGCAAATGTGGAAGCCATAGATCGAGGCCCAATCCAGTATTTTTTAGGCATGGAAATTTCGAGAGACTCTCCATGCGGAAATATTCAGCTTCATCAATCTCGTTTTACAGAGGATCTATTGAAAGAATGGGGTATGTTCGATTGTAAATCGTCATCAACTCCGTTGACATGTGGAACAGTCTTGATTAAGTGCGAAAATAAAAACTGCAGTGAATTTTTCGACACACAGACATATCAGAGTCTCATTGGATCATTGACTTACTTAGCCATGATATCTAGACCTGATATCGCTCACACTGTTTCAAAATTGTCTCAATTCAATTCACATCCCCACAATGAGCATTTTGTAGCAGCAAAGCATGTACTTCGTTATCTAAAAAGCACAACGAAAGGTATATTGCCCTATATTTCCAATAATGATTGTTTAGTTTGTTTCACAGATGCCGATTGGGGGTCCGATGCTACGGATCGAAAATCATATAGCGGCTATGCAGTCTTCTGTGCTGGTAGTCCGGTAGCGTGGGAGTCAAAGAAACAAACGGTAGTATCATTGAGTTCAATGGAAGCAGAATATGTAGCCATGTGCCAGGGATCCAAGGAAGTTGCCTTCTTAAGGAGTCTATTAAAGGAAATTGGCTTCCTTTCATATGTAAATTCTGCTACTAAATTTTTCTCGGACAACCAAGGTGCGCAATTTGCAGTGAAGAATCCAATAGTCCACAAAAGAAGCAAACATATGGATATCAAGTTCCACTATATACGAGAGAAATTCAACAACAGAGAAATTGACATTCAATATATCTCGACTGCAGAAAATGTAGCTGATATTTTCACGAAATCTCTTCCAAAAGAGAAACATAAACGTTTTTGTAAATTGCTCAACATAAGGTTCTGTTAAATACCTATGTAATTAGAGTTTGTTATTCTCATATGTAATTAATAATGTGGATTCAAATGTTAAATGAATATTATTTTTTTTTGTTTGAAGATAATTTGGTTTGAGTCGGAGTATGTTAGTTATAGTTGGCATCACTGAAAGAGCAAACCAAATACCAAGTATATGTACATAATTTACTTTCTTATGTATTACAACTGTTACTCTATACTATTGTTATTTTTACATACTAAGTACAGTTTTTGTTCACTTCAATAAAACATTTTGTATCGAACGGACGTCTTTGAATTAAATATTCTAACAATACTCTATCAACTTGTACTGGCATTTTTTTCGGCGCCACCAAACATTTTTTTACGGTTTCACTTACCAAAACCAACAAATTAATCAGATTTAGGCACAAAGTACTGTCAAATTGTCAGTAAAACCATGAAATGTAGTTGTTAGCAGTCCGTAAATCCTTCAATACAAGCATTAACCAAAGCATACAAATAAAATATATATGTTAAACCATACCAAACAAATAGACAAACATATATTTAAGCTACCAAAAACCAAAATAACTTTTAAGAACTTAATATAATATACAAAAAATACATATGAACGCATGTAAATGAATAAGAAGCAAACTGACAAATTGTTGATTACGTTAGCAGAGCGCTGCAAAGGTTGAGTTCACATACACGAAGAGAGAGAGAGAGTGAAAGAAAACTAGCGGGGAAATGCGGAGCACAATGTAAAAGCTTAGAAAAATGTTTTGGTACTTTTGTTGCATGATTAAATGAGAAAAACAACTTGCCGAAGGTACCAAACGGCACGCCGATTACGCAAGATTTGCGCTCGCGTGATGGTTATTTGCGAAAACTGCCGTTAGTGGACAATAGACACATAAAGGATAATACATTTCGACTTTTTTGATTTTTTTTTTTTAGTTTCGGCTAGTGTTGAACAATTTGGCACAGTGTCTCAAATTGCCAGTGTTTAAGTTTCTATGTAGGTGTGATTGTGAGTGTATGTGTGTGTGTGAGAGAGAAAGAGTATGTGTTTACCTGCTGCTGTTGTATTAGTTGCGCCAGGAATGACTGCTGTCTAGCTGCGGAGTTTTGCAAAACAATTACCGATTCAGTCTTTTCGCGTCTGGGTCGCGGCGTCAAATTATTTAACCAGCCCGTTTTATCCGCTTGCGGTTGCGCCGCACTCGCTGACGCGCTATTACCACCATTGGCACTATTGTTGTTGGACTTATTGGCACTTGTAGTGCTGTTTGACTTTGGTGTCGTTTGTTGTTGTTGTTGCGTTGTTGGCACTTGTTGCTGCTTGGCAGCATTGGAAGCACTATTGGCTGTTGTTGTTGCTGTGGTGGAAGTAGTGGTCTTCGCACTAGTACTAATGCTATTCTTATCCTTTGGCTTATTGTCGTTGGACGTCGTAGTTTCGTTCTTATTATTATTGTTGTTGTATATGCTGCCGCGTGGTAGCATGACGCTGGCGCGTTGTGCCTGCACCAATTGCGGTGAGCTCAAATTACTGCTGTTGCCCAGTACGGCCGAGTAGCGTTTCATCTGCGGAAAGAAATCGGAATTCTCACGCCTAAAGCTGCGCATAAAATTCGGCAATTTCGAGTCGGACTCCTGACGTTTGTGCACCAGCTGTTGCGGTTGTGCCTTCTGTACGCCTGCGTTGGCGCTACTGCTCATTTGATTGGGTTTTTGTGCGCTTGCACCGCTAGTGCTGGTGGTGCTGGTGGTGCTGCTGTTGCTGCCAGCGTTGCCGCTTTGACCGCTTCGTGGTTGCGGCTGTGGCTGTTGGCTTTCTTTGGTTCCTTTTAGTGGCTGGAAGCCTTGTGGCACAGGTGGTGGCTGTTGTTGTAGTTTAGTTGTTGGCGGCGATTGGTGATGTGAATTACGGCGCATCATCTCTGAAACGCTACTGCGATGCAGCAGCTTCTGTTCGGCTTTCAGTGTGCTCGAATTGGAAATGGCCGCGGCGCCGCCTTCATGATTCGGAAAGAACTTCTCAATGTCCCATTCGCGCATGAGCACAGCTTCATCTTTGTTCGGACGATTGGCACAAGTGGTGGAGGCAGACTTTTGGATTTTGTTTTGATTTTCGAGTTTCTGTGTGAGATTTCAGTTTGGTTGTTTTTTTTTTTTGACACATAAAAACTCATTCTTAAACACGACTTAAGCAAGACTGATGAAATATATGTATAGTGATAGATAGTGATGGGCAGAAGGCGGTAGAGGGGTGTGGGTGGATAGTTGGTGAACAGGTTGGGAGGCGGTATTTGTTAAGTGTGGCAAACTTTTTCATGAATTTTCGCTTTTATCATAAATTTTGACAATTTTCGCTGGGCCGTGGCGCGGATAAGTATGAGTATTTCTGTTTTTTTTTTGATATTTTGCTATGGTATAATGAAGTAGTGTTTGATGTATGTATGTATATACATATATGTATATTACATACCGGCTTATTTACAAAAGTGTGTGCATTCGTTTTTGCGAGCATATTTGTAAATATATTTTATGTAGTATATATGTATGCGTGCATTAAGTATGCATTTGGGATTATAACAGTGCATTGTAGCACACATAAATTATGCGCCAGCGTTCTTGGCGGTTGCAACACATATTTATTTTAATTTACTTGAAATGCGAATGTAATTAGTTTACCGAAATATGCAGTTATTTCATAGAATATCCTTCGGGATTTTTATACAACTCTCATTATTGAAAAAATATATATGTATAAAATAAATAAAAATGTGTTAAATCAACAGTTAAGTTGTAGTAAAGTATAGTAATGCAAAGTTAAAATAGTAAAGGAAAAAAAAATTTTTTTTTAAGTAAAATTCACGAAAAATATTTGCACAATTTGTAGTATTTTATAAAAAATGAGTAAATATGGAAATTAGGCAGACACTGCACAGCCGGCCCATTGCGTACATAGCAGCAGCAATAGGTTACTTGCATTGGAAAATTAACTTATACTTTAAAAGTAAGTAGTTGTTGTAGATAAATACGTTTAAAAAGTATTAAAATTATTATTACAACTAATTACAAACTATAATATATAAGAATTTGTTAAACAGAAATAATATTATATATGGTATATATATACATATATATTTATTATATGTTTACGCAGTTTATAGTTTATATATCAAAAATTAGGTGTGAAACGTCTACGGTATTTTTATTTGGCGCGCGCGCACGCTTCGTGCCAGTTGCTTGCCCACGAAATTTCGGGTTTATCTTACAATTTAACAGTAAGAACCACAACCACTTGTTTATTACTATATAAAAATAGTTGCTATTGTTGTTTTTGTTGTGAAATGCAAAAATTAATATTATAATAATAATTTTGGTAAAATCAAACAATCATAAATTGTACAGATTAGGTCTTCGTCAAACGTTTGTTGTTGTTATTATTATTAATTATTAAAGTATATATATTTATAAAAAAAATTTGCTAACACAGTTTACACACCAACAACCCTAAAGCGTTTTACCATAGAGTATATACGTATAATTTACAATAATAATTACAATAATAATAAAGAGTTTTAGTTTAAATTTTCAGCTTAGAATTTGCTTAAGCTTAGTCTGGTCGCTAACCTAAGACTGCTAGAAGCAAATTTCGCATTATCGATTTTCGACAACAAAGTTTCAATCGAAAAAATCACCAATTTTTCACCACAACTCTCAAAAGGTAACTAATTATTTTTCTATACGCTAATTTCCATAACTTATATGTATACTAGGCGTAACGGTATAGAAAATATTAAAATAATACAAAATTGTTGGCTGACTTACCCTCTTCATGATCAATGTACGATCGCCAGCTTGATCGTCGTCATCGGGTGTGGGTGGCAAGGGGCGATTCGGTGGTCCGCCACCGCTGCTGCTGCCATGACTGATGGGTGTGGTCGTTGTGTCCTCGGAAACGGGTCCAAGTCCAGGCCTATATGAAAATTCAGGACTGTACCATAAAAAAATACACAAAAAACCAAAAAAAAGAGAAGGGAGCGAATCGGCGGTGAAACAAATACGCGATAATAAACGAAAATATGATGGCGATAAAATTTATAAAAATTTAATTGAATTGAATTCAAAAAAAAAAAAAAAAGAATAAAGAAATATTAAGTGTGATGAAGAAGAAGTAGAAGAAAATATAACGAAATTCTTATTAGTTTGCAACACAATTGTGTACATGAGATATCAAATGAATTAGTGGTTTCAAAATCAAATATTTCGAAAAGCAAAAAAAATTCAAAAATATATTGAATATGTATGGCGATGGTGATTTTAATAAACGTAAAATAATTTTTTAACTGCAATTAATTTTACTATTAAATTTAATTTTTTTAATTAATTTTATATATTTTATTTAACTCATTGTTTTTTTTTTGTTTATAATTTTTTTTTATAAAATATTTTCTAAATGGAATTATTACGTTTTAATTTTTTTCCAATTAAATTATTATTTTTTAATTAATTTTAATTGTTTTAATATAAACTTTTTTAATATTTTACTAGCGTTACTTTTTTAATTTAACATACTTTTATTTCTGTAATATTTGTTTTAAATATTTTAAAACTTTTTAATTAAATTCATATTTTTTTATAAATTATTTTTTAATACAATTACGATTTTTCAATTAAAATAAATTCCTCTGTTATTTAAATTTTTTTTTAAATTAAGTTATAATTTTTGATTGGTTTTTAATTATTTGTATTATTTTTTTGTTTCGTTACTTTACGCCAAATTATTCGCATTTGTATGCAATTGTAAAAAAGGCAATATAAAATAGCTTAAGTCGAATAAAGGCAATGCTATTTCTCTTGAAAATCTGCGCATAAACTATAACGGCAATTTATCGTTAATCGAAACATTCGATACTTAGTGATTGTTCATGAAAAATTATAACTTCGAGTCTCGAATAAATTTCACAAAATACGAAAAAATATGCGCCTTACCACTTAAGTCGACCAAAGCTACTTTAACATATTGCAACAGCAATGTTTTCTCGTCCGAAAGTCGCCTCTTTCGCAAGCACTTTTCTTTTACTCTAATAAACACATTTTACTCACAGTGGCTTCGGTGGATCACTGGCCAAGAGTGTGCCATCGTTACGTCCACGTTCGTTGGGCTCATCCGGCTCGCTATCCGTATCGCTGCTATCCAGCGGATCTAGTGGATTTATTGGCTGCACGTGATGATGATTATTGGATAACGGCGGTACGGCTGGTGCCGATTTCATCTGTGCTGATGATGACGGTGGCACCGATTGGCGATTATTACGTGGTGGCGCCTCCGGTTGGGCCTGCTGTTGTAATTGTGACTGTCCAAAAGCGGTTTGCGGTTGCGGCTGTTGAGAGACGCCCAATTCATTAAGTTGTGCTGCTATCATGTCCAAATCCTAGTTTTTTGTTTATTTGTTTTTGTTTTTTGTTTTTTGTATGGTGGATTTGGGTATATGGTGGTGCAGTTATTTTGGTTTTCAAGAGGTGGTGGTGGTTGTGGTGGTTTGGTGATGTGATAATATACATATTGGAAGATTTTCAGTACGATTACGATTGTTGACGTGTACAGGTGGTAAATTTTATTTTTGATTTGTTTTTGAACGATGACAAGTCAATTAACCAATTCAATTGAGACATTTCGTATTTTTTATTTTGTTTTGGTGAAAAAATTGTGAAAAATAGTAAAAGTAGAATTAGAGTGGTTATCAAAAAATACGTTACTTTACTTTGCTAATTTCTGGTAATCGGGGGATGCAGTTAGAAGCAAATAATTAAAAATCAAAATTAGGGTTATGTTGAACAAAGCTATTAATATATTTAGTTTATATAACTTTATCGTTATGAGTAATGTGGCGCATGCAAATTTCGATTGTTTTTTGGGAAAAGCATTATTAAACTTCAAAATGAGAGCGGCAATTCTGATTTCAGTACTTAAAAAAAAAAAGATTTCTTGCCATTAGTTTGGAACATATACACCAAATATATCGGTTGCATTAAAGCTAAAATACCCTTCACAAATAAAATAGCTTACATACAAGAATTTAATTTTGATGAGTCAGTTTGTATGGCAGCTATATGCTATAGTCCTCCAATCTGAACCACTTCTTCTGGAATTGAAACATTGTCTTAGACAATAAACTATGCCAAATTTCGGGAGGATATCTAGCCAAATAAAAAAATTGTCCATACAAGGATGTCATTTGGAGAGGTAAGTTTGCATGACAGCTATATCCTACTGTAGTCCAATATAAACGATTCCGACAAATGGGCAGCTGCTTGGGGAGAAAAGGACATGTGCAAGATTTCAAAAACTAGACACAACAAGGGACTAGTTCGTATACCTTCTGCTCAAATATAAACGAGACTTTATCCATAACTCGACAAGGACATGACATATGGCCATACTTTTTTTTGCTTCGGTTGGCAGGACTGTTATATGTTTACATGTCAAATTTGAGCGCGATCTGTCACATAGTTTTACGGCACTATAAACAAGTCAACCTCAAATGTGTTTTTCGAATTTTGCTATGGAAATTAACGTTGAGCAAAAAGTGTTTGTTTGAAATTTTTTTTATTCCAATGGAATAAGTGCGATGGACGCAATTAAAATGTTGCAGAAGGCATATGGGGAGTCTTGCCTATCACGTGCACGTATTTTTGATTGGTATAAGTCGTTCAAGGACGGCCGTACATCGCTGGAGAACTTGCCCCATGATCGTCGTCCAGCAACGTCAATAAACGAAGAAAACGTCGAAAAAGTAAAGAAAATTGTGTTGGAAAATCGTCGTGTGACTGAAAGAGAGATAGCTAGTGAGCTCAACATATCAAATGGATCCGCTCATAGCATTATTTACGATGTTTTAGGCATGAGACGTGTGTCTGCTCGACTTGTTCCAAAATCCATCTCATACGTCTCGTCTTGTACGCGATTATTTGACCAAAAACAACGTAAATATTGTTCCGCAAGCACCGTATTCACCCGACATGGCACCGTGTGACTTTTTTCTTTTCCCTAGACTCAAATTGCCGCTTCGTGGAAAGCATTTTCAGTCGATTGAAGTCATAAAAGAGAATTCGAAGAAGGAACTGAAAGCCATACCTAAAGCGGCCTACCAGAAGTGTTATGAAGATTGGAAAAAAAGGTGGCATATGTGTATCGCCTCTAATGGTGACTATTTTGAAGGGGATAAAATAAATATTGAAGAATAATTAACCGTTTTTGTTTTATTGAGCCAGTCTCGTTTATATTTGAGCAGATATACACATAGCGGGACATGGCTAAATCTTGCTTTGCTCTCCAACGTTTTCTTCTGGGTTTTATGAACTTGTTGGCAAGCTAAATTCAGAGTGTAAAAAAATATAAATATTCGTAAATGGAGAATAATCTTTAGTTTCTAATTTTTTCTTTTTTATGGAAAAAATTTCAACCGTTGAGGTTTGCTATTCGCTACTTTATTTCTTAACTGGAAACCGTTAAAAGTTGACTTCAAGTTGGTAATGGTCAAAAAAGGTTTATAAAGGCATGACTAAACTCCCTCAAACTGGAGGTTCTATAAGCATTCTCGACTATAAAGTACTTATTTTTTAAGGTTAGCCCACCGAATATGCAAATTAATAGTTCAAACTTAAAATTTTTTTTTAAAGTCATTAATTAAATTAAGAGCTTAGCTTATTAAGTTAGCATCACAGATTATTGACTCAAAGGTTAGGCAACTGCTATAAAAAAATATGCATTCATTCCACCAGGTGTGTATGAATGCACTTATATAGCGGGAGGTAACCACTCTAATAATCTACTAGTACTAAGCAATTTATAACAAAAATAGTTAGGGCGTTTCGTGCAGTGTTGTAGCATTTTAACGGTTAAAAGGTTAATCTGTTATGAAACTATAATGTGGCACCTCCTTTGGTCATATATACATATATATAATATATATGGGATGGACATAGAAATGCGTTGAATATTAAATTATGAATATTAGACAATAAAAAACAAAAAATCTCAAAATACATGAAACATATATACTATTTGGTGAATCGCTATGTGAAGTGTGTGTATTTTTGTGTATGAATGAAGTAAAACGAAAATGGGGAAACATACCTCAGGTCTCCTTGGTGGCAACTGTTTGGTGTTTCATGATGAATGACGTTAATGAAAAGCGTGTACGTTGTGTTCATATAGTTTTCATGTCAGTGTTTATATATATATACACCAAATATATCGTATATATATTATATATATATATATATATACATATATACATATATAAGAGTATATATATGAGTATCCAATGATGCAGAGACAAGTTTTTGGACATCGTTGATTGAATGTAGAGTAGAGGGCGGGCAAATACATAGCATTTGATACCAAAATAATGTAATTGTTTTTATTTTGGTTTTTTATTTTTATTTTATTCCGTATCCAAAGCAAAAAACAAACATGTACGACAACGGGGACAACGGAAAACATGAAAATAAAAATGCAAATGTAAAAACAAAATGTTTATACAAAACATTCTTTGTGGTAAACACTATTTACAGGACTAATATTTTGTTGGTATGTATATTAAAATTTATTTTATTTTATTTTTGGTATAAAAGCTTTTCGGGTTACTAAACAAACAGCAACAACTATTTTACTGGCTGAATATATTTATATGTATGTATATAAAGATGACATGCATGATCAATTGTACATACCGATGGTTTGAAATTATTTTGCGAATTACGCTGTTGTTGCTGTGGCGTTTGAGCAGTGGGTTCTGAGCTTTTTGGAGTTGGTGGTAATGGTCGATTGGCATGTGGTGGATTTGCAAGCGGTGGATCGGGCACCACAATGACGCGTTGTGGCAAAGCCGGGCGCGATGGTGGACCGGGCTCTTCGATTTGTTGCCGTTGCTCACGCTGTAAATAGTCGAATAACAACAATAAGTTTGTAAATATTTCATATATTATATACACATACCGATTGCGGTTTCTGGTTGCGATTAGCTTGCGGCAGCTGAGCTTGTGCCTGAGCCTGGGCTTGTGCAGCTGCAGCAGCCGCAGCCATTTTCTGCTGCTGCTGTTGTTCGGCAGCGATACGTCCCTCTTGTATCTGTTGGAAATTGCGTCGTAAGGTGTCACCGCCTGGTGCCTGTATGATGGAGCTGGGCTCACCAGCAATTTGCGGCTCATCATCATCATTATCCGAACCGGAATAGTGAAAGTCATCGCGATCTTTTTCCTGCTTTCGTTTCTTGCAACGATCGATGTGATCCTTCAATTGTATTCGCACCTGACGATCTGTGGGTTGATCCTTGATGAATGCATGCTTTAGTAATTGCTCTGTGTAAGGCCGCTGATGGTAGTCTTTCACTGTAAAATAAACAAAAAGTATTGAATATTAATTAAAAGTTAGCTGGAGTGTAACGCCGTAGCTTACCAAGAACGGTGTCAATGAATCCGTGAAATTTCTTCGACCACTTTTTCGATTTTAGACGTGGCGGTGAGTTACGTGGAATTAAGAATAGTGCACGCATCGGATGTAAGTCACACAAAGGTGGCTGGCATTCAGCCATTTCTAATGCGGTTATACCCAAAGACCACAAATCGGAACGGTTGTCGTATGTGGCCTCCGGATTTTCTTCACAGGCAATAACTTCGGGTGCCATCCAGTATGGCGTGCCTGCAAACAGGAAAAAGGTAAAAATATTTTTTTAGAGAAATTTAATCTATAATATAAATAAATGTCCATACCTATGAATGTGTTTCGCCGTCCTATCGTGCGATCCAATTGTGCTGATACACCAAAGTCCACCAGTTTAACCTCGGCATTATCTGTTAGCAACACATTTTGTCCCTTGATATCACGATGTATAACTTTATTTGTATGCAAATAGCTGAGACCACGCAATATTTCACGACAAATATACGCAATCCATTCCTCCTTGAGGCTCTGTCCCTTTGTCGTTTTGACAAGATCGGTTACCGAGCCGGCACCACAATACTCCATGACCAGCCATAATTGATCGTCTTTGCCCGGTGGAGATTTCTTTATAAAAGCGCCATAATAGGTTGCAATATTGCGATGATTTGAGTATTTTTTAAGCACATTGATTTCTAATTTAATTTCTTCCTCTTCATCTTCGGTGACATCCATCACCTTTATGGCAGCCAATTGACCAGTTTTCGTATGGCGACCCTGAGAATATAAAATGACAAATGTTATACAAAAATAATAAAATAATTAAAAGAGATCGTAGATATTATAAAATATACAATAAATCTAGTTTAAGCTTAAAATAAATGAGTCGTCATGAAATGTTGTTGTTAATTAAAGTAATTTGTAAGAGGGTTAACAGATCTTATTAAGACTAATTAGAAATTAAAACCATTATAACCTTACTTTTTGAGGTTATCAATTAACTTGACAACAAATAATCGCCAACTGAGCTCAATTCATTATTAAGTCATGTATTAAAGCTCAAAGTTCCACCGAGGAATCCAGATATCCACAAAAACGCCTAGATAACTTTGGCGGAACCCATCTCCTGAAAAAATTGTCCTAGTAATATACGGCTTGTATAAACTGTTCGACAATCGGGAAAAACATGTGAACCATCCATTGTATGAGATGTCAAAACTCTTTTGCATAATTTTGAGGTCAAAAATCAAAGCTCTGTTTGGTTTTGAAGCAAGGTCAGCTCGTAGGAACAGTAAGAGGACCTTCCTTAAATATACTGACGCCATTATAAGATATATTTAACCTATATATGACGAAGTGACTTATAAACCTAGACTTGCCACCCTTGATACAGAGTCTATCATTAAGGCCGTCGTCAATGCTTACTGGCCTCAGCTGGTTTAGTGGGCGTCTGAATACCAACTATTACCTATAAAGAACGAGTTGCTTTGTGAGACTCGCATCAATTTTGCTATATAACATTTGGGGTTTTGTAACAAGTTAATTTTTTTCTAATTTAAACTCGATTTAAAAATCCTCAATCTTCCGAATAATCTAACATCACTTTCCATTTAATTCAAACCTGGCGAACTGGCACGTTTTTGACATATACCGTTAGTTTATATTGATAATTACAATTAACCACACACTTCTGATGAGAGTTGAGACTACAAAAACAACAACAAGCTGTTTGACCCAGCTTGTCAACTCAAGATGAACGCAGGAAGCAGGAGTGGGAGAAGCTCGATCAAACAGTCAACAAAATATTCATATACATACTTACATACACATGTATATTTCCTTCTATCAATCAAATTTAGTTTGAATTAGAAGGTCAATTATCGATTAGTGGCAGAGTTGATTATTTGATATGTATTATATATGTGTGTAAGTATTTTGGTGCGATGTTTTTATCAGTCGACCATTCACTTAAGAGCAATCTCCTTTTATTTAACGACATTATTATTGCTGTTGCTGCTCTTGTTGTTGCTGTTGTTGTCGAATGTTTTCATCAACTAGCAGCCAGAGTCATTGAATCTCGTCTCATTGTCTCCGCTCGAAGACTATTCAAGCTAAATCGGCAAGCGCGTATTTGCGTGTCAGCATCTATGTGCACATAGATACATAAATACGTTTGCAAGTATAGTACATAGAGGCGATCACACGTCAGGCGATTGTGTGTATAAAAGTGTGACTGCTGCTTTGTACTATCTTGAACTTTTACAAGGAGTGCAAGTACGTTGGGTGTCGACATACTGTCAGCTTTTTTTCTCAACTCGACTCAACTCAACACAAAACATGTCGTACACATAAGAACACACATACACAAATACATACATACACATATGCTTGTAAAATGCACATTTATAGTATAACTACAATAAAAACACACTTGTGAGCGCATAGAAGTGCATAAGCATTATAGTTAGTATCAGCTTAAGTCAGTCAGTTCAAATGCGCATTGACGAGCTTCCAGCAACTCGACGCCGCCGCTGCGTCTTCTAGTTCCGTCAAATGGACCAAAGTAAAAGAGTCCACAAGCTTCAAATACTATATAAATGACTGAATGATTAAACAAACAAAGCAAAGTTGAGAAAGAGCAAAAAGCAAACGTGAAAAATAAACAATAGAGAATGTTATTTATAAATCTAAAAAAAAAAAATATAAAAATGTAAAAAAAACCAGAAAAAATGTTAACTTCGGTTGCAGCGAAGCTATAATACCCTTCACATCTACAAAATTTTCCATTCAAGAACTCGATATTGAGATATATATACTATAATGCTCCGATATCGCCGGTTCCAACAAATGGGTAGGTTCTTGGGAAGAAAAGGAAGTGTGTAAAAGTTTAGATCGATATCTCAAAAACTGAGGGACTTGTTCGCTTATATACAGATTGACGGACAGACAGACGGATATAGCTAAATCGACTCAGCTCGTCATACTGATCATTTATATATATATTTTATAAGGACTCTGACGCTTCCTTCTCGGTGTTACAAACTTCGCGGTAAGCTTTCAATGTTCAGGGTATAAAAAAAGGGGGAAAAAAATATATATAACATAAATAAGAAAAAAAGGTGCATAAGCGTTAAGTATTTGAACTATGCTATGCGCTCATATGTAATTGATGCTGTTGCTCGGGCTGGTGGCGACGCACAGTGAATGCATGCGGCCATAAATGGTAAAAATAAAATTCTTGGCATGGCATTAATCTCAATACAGTTTAAAGAATGCAGTTGAAGAATTCGGATTTTTAATAAATATTCCAATTGGTGCTATATTAAATGCTTCGGTATTAAAACAAACTTTATCTTCACTTTAGCTGTCTTCGATTCGCCATTACTGTGCTCGCTATCCCTGCGATATCTTCATTGCTACCAAATTTTGTTTTACATATTTTAGACCAGATGTACACCATTGTCTCAAAAATTAATATATTGAGGGTTGTTGATTTATTATTGAGGATTGTTGATAAATATTGATGAATAAATAAAGATTTGTTGATGAAAAGTTGTCATACTTGTTGAAACCATCGCTTATATAATGACTTTTGAATCTGAAGTTGGAGTTGCTAGATTTTAATTACAAAGAGTTTCGAAAACGGATCCTAAAAAATCAATGCAAAAAGGGGAATACAGTTTTATTTTCGATTACAAATTTCTCTATTTATTTATTTAACCTTTTTGATGTAAAAATTGATAACACTAGATTACAGGCATTTAGCAACTGTGATGTTAGTGGCTGTTTCTTGCTAATTTTGGGTTGCTAAAACCGAAAATGATAGTAGAATTTTCTAACACGTTAGATATTTTGTGTTGTAGTCACGGAGTGTTGAGGTCAAACCAGCACAATTTACTAAAATGACAAAAATATCTGTACATGATGGAAAATTTTTGAACTCAAAACAGACCTCTTAGCACATCAGGCGCAAATTTTTCCCTCAGATTTGTTGAGTAGTGCAATCTTCAAGTTCAAATTAAAACAAGAAACTTCACAAGCATAAAAAGGTCTTCATCTTGCTTTAGATCGGTCAGTTGCAGTGACAGTTAAATACTAAAGTGATCCGATTTAAAATATATGTTCGGAGTGCGTAGCCCTGGAGGATATTGCCCTGCACAATGATCTATGCAACATTTCGTGAAGATATTTCCGTACAAGAACTTGATTCTGAACGGTCAGTTTGTATGGCAGCATATGCTATAGTAGTCCGATATCGCTGGCAAACAAAAAAGCAGCTTTTTGGAGAGAAAAGGACATGTGCATAATTTTAGATCGATATCTCAAAAACTGATAGCGGCTAGTTCGCGTGTATATACAGACAGACAGACAGACATGGCTAAGTTTACTCAGCTAGGTTGTCCGACGTTTCCTGTTAAGGGTATAAAGATGAAAAAAGTCATAAATTGCAATGCAAACAAAAATTTTGTTACTAATTATCATTTTATCCGCTATTACTGTGAAAACGATACACAGTGCAACGGTGGCTGTGATGCCGCAATCGACGCTGATGAAGCGCAGCGCCGCAGTGTTGAACGGGTGTGGCTGGGCACGCTGTTGGCAATAAATATACTACAATAACGTTGCATTGAATGATTTCTGAATTGGTCGCGATCTACAATTTACATACAGACACATATGTATAGTATATATTTGTATATATGTATACATATATGCATGCGTGCGCTTGTGAGCACGGAAAACAGAAGAATTACAAACATTCATACAAAGTTATAAAGCTATAAAGTGGCTGATATGCGCTGAAAGTGTTTGTGCGCCCGCATGCATGCATTATTATGTGTTCGATTGTGTGTCAACCTTGATATGCGGTTACCAGAAATAATGTTTACGCTTCACACAGAATTAATGCGCTGCGACTGCGCTAAGTTGTGAGCTTTCAAAGTCACTGCACTTTCGTGCCTCTAACTATGGACAACGCATGGCCATATTTGTTGTTGTACGTGCGTCTTCCCGCCGCATGCTAGTAATCCTGCATGGAAATTTGTCTGTCTCTACCCGTCTACGCGTCTTTGTATTATTTCGATATCCGGTTTGATTATTAAATGAATTGTCAAGCAGAGTCATCAGCGCCGAGCTTACAGCGAATATGACGGAAAGTGGCGAGATTATGCTCAAAATCGGCAATCCCATTAACGCTATCTCGCGACAAATAGTTGAACAAAACCAATTAAATAAAATCGCAATAATTAAATAAATATATTTAAAATACCAAATCGTTTGCATTAATATACTCGTAGCTATGCCATTTGAGGAAATGTACTAAAAGCTCCAAAAGTTTTAAAAGTTTTCCAGACTGATCTACCTATTATCTCTCTAAAAGAAAAAAAAGAAAGAAAAAGGATTGCCACGATCTGAATGTGGGGCTTAGAATACTAACCATCACGAGAAATACTCCAGTAAATAAAAAGCTCTATCACACACCGAACAGAGTAATACGCATCAATTATTCCTAATATATCTTCATAAATGAAGCTGATGGCTCAAACGAACAGGGCCAAAATCTATAAAGTCAGGTTGCGCAGATAATGTGTTCAGAAAAACTTTACCAGACTTTCCCAGCTAAAACATATTTAGTTAGTACGTTGCTTCTGTAACATCATAAAACTTTTCGCCCAAATAGTTTTGCTGAAGTCAGAGTTCTCGACGGGATATCAGCTCGACACATTCTCAATCTCATTGCCCCTATTTCTGAATTGGTGGTCACTTTAAAAAATTTG